ATCTTTGGATGCAGGATTGAGCTTTGCTGGCCTTTCTTTCTTGTTCTTTGGGTGTTAGTGCCAGCTTTGGCAGCCCTCATTGTCAGTGCTGGCTCAAATGAAGGAATGGCTGAAGGCTCCTTTTGGAGACCCACTTTACTGGTTATTTTAATTGCTCACAGGGATAATTGTTGAGTGGTGCTATATAGGATAGTATTTCCTTTGCCACAGGGTTTAGGAATTCTGCCCAGTAATCACTCCTACTCCTGCTGGATGAGTGTATCTGAGTGGAAAGACTAGTAACTGGCGCTAGGTATCTCCTTAAAACTCTGTGTAGGGCCTCTGTCATATTAACTCTTTGAAATTCATGCAGCCACCATGAATACTTTCCTCATTGATCTTCTGTTTCATATGGTCCTAAACAGAGAAATTTGCAGAGTTTAAAATTAGGACACCCTCTATCATGTAGCCCTGTGAGGCCAAAAATGTTCTTTGCTTTTCTTTTTTACTGTCAGAGGTAATGGAAGAACAATAGGGATTTGAGTGATAAGGGCTGGGCTTAAATTTTTTTTTTTTTTTTTTTTAAACACTGCTATTTCAGCTATGTCTGCTATGGTGAAAGACTGCAATATACTGTTTACTGGTATTCTGTGGTATGGAACTGTCAACACTTTCTGAGATAGGGTGACAAAATTCTGGACCCAGCATCCATTAGATGTTTCCTTAAACTTAGCTGCTTCTGTAGGAGGGAGCCTTCTGAGACTCAAAGTTTGTAGTTTTGAAGCCTTTTATCAAGGAATAACTGATTCACAAGAGGTCAGTAAGCTAAAATATTTTAGTATATGTGTTGCCGAAGTGAGCTCAGTAAGCCAAAATAAAAGGTGAACTTGTATGGATCATATTTCAGAATCAGCTTTATGGTTGCAGTTTTTAAATTGGAAATCAATGAAGATGGGGGGGTGGAGTTGTTTGTTAATTGTTTTTTAAAGAGTTTTTGTCACTTATTAAAATAAAAGTGATATCAGTTTTGAGTAGTTATCTAGACTACATTAGTGATAATGGAACAAAACAGAAACTTCTTCTGAAGAATTTTGGGAATCCTCAAAATGACCTTGACCTCTTTGCTAAGATTGATTGCTTTAAAGGCCCCAATTTTTCTTCATCCTTCTTTGTATCCATGACCTTTGCCATGAAACTTTACAGTGCCCTTCCATTGTAGAAGGGTATTCTGTCTCACCTCTTGACTCTGGGATCCATCATTTAACTTGCTTTGGCCAATGGGATGTTGGCAAATGTGATACAAGTAGAGGTTTGTAAAAGCACTTGTGCACTTCTGTTCACATTCTTGCTCTTTTCTGTCACCATGAGAAGAACAAGCCTGGGCTAGTCTGATGGAGAATGAAACGTATGGAGCAAAGTTGAATTACTCTAGTTATCCCAGCCAAGGCCATCCTAGATCAGCCAAAAGCCAGCCGACCACAAGACATGTAGGTGAGCTCAGCTAAAAGCAGAAGAGTTGCCCAGTTGACCTGCAAACATATGAGCCAGACAAATGCTTATTTTTTAACTCAGTGAGTTTTGAGGGTGGTCGAACCTGAAGCATTTTTGTGGCCATAGATAACTGATACAACCTCAGTTAACCTCTTTTTAACAAAGACTCAACTGGGCAAATATCGCAGATGATTCCCAGTGATTTTTTGCTGTTTCAGTGACAACATGAACATAATTTCAAGAAATTCCTAAAGCTAGCCTCTCAGTGATACTTGTGTGAGACTTGATTTAAAGTGAAATATGTTTTCGTTGTGGGTCGATTTAGGAACCTCCACCCAGTCTATATTTTCAGCTAATGTATGTTAGCCTCACAGGGCACCGAGTCATTCAGTCCACAAAAAAAAAAAAGATAAGGCAAAGAATGCAAGTAGTCCAAGTAATTAAGTTAAATTCATGTGGCAAGAAACACAAAGCCAATATGTCCTTGTCAAGAGCGAATTTTGACTGGGAAGAAGAGTTGGTGGTAAGTGGAGTCAGTAAAATGGAAAAAATGAGACTCAAAAAAGGCAAACTAGATTTACTTTAGGCCATTTAAAAACAACAGAGTGTAAAAGTGAATGTTGTGAATGAAGACTGAGCTTTCAAATCTTAACTCCAATTACACCTAACTTATTAAAGGGGTGGGTGTTGGATGAAAGAGGCAATGAGGTAGTTTTGTTAGGGGCCTGGTGCTTTAATTCTTTCTTTGTACTTTGACATCAAATGACTGTTGTCTTTTTTACTTTCAGACTCTCTATTGCTATTTCATTCACTTTCTTTTGTGGTAGAACGAAGTCTGCTTTTTAGTGAGTATATAATAAGTAGAGGGCTGAGAATCAGTCCCTGGACAGAGGCTGGGCATTACTGATCAGTACTCAGAGAAGAGGTGCTAGATGGGGGAAACTATACTTGGTTAATTCATGATATTACTTGGAAAGGTCCTTATTATTTTGCACAGCAGTGTGGTCACCTGGCGGTAGGTCATTAGCATTTTAGTCTTCTTTTCCTCACAACAATGCACAACATGCTAATTAGAGGATTCTGAAAGCTAAGTAACCTGTTTTAAAACCAGACATTTTAATTTGTAGCTTTAATGGCTGTTTTTATAATAACTGGCTTTATTGGGGGTAAAAGCACTTCTCATGTTCCACTAGCAAGGCAGAGTATAACAGAAGCTGACAAAATTAAAAACCTCATAATGCGACCTTTGCCTGGGATAAAAGGCTGTTTCATAACAATTTCCTTTTGTTCTTTGTTTAAGCCATTACTCTAAAAGGAGCCTCCGATTAATCTAAGTAAATGCATCATTACAGTACTAATCCATGTCCTTCTGTCAGTGTCTGTTTTAATTAAATAAGAAATGCTAGCAGAAAGATATCACGCACAAAGCTGTGATTGGAGAAAGAAGCACTGGTTGATCAGGGAAAGATTAAAAAGGGCTTTACTGTTTTGTCCATTTGCATAGCTCCAGATGCCACAGTGTTTCAGGTTGAAAGAAAACTTACAAAAGAGTTTAACACATTTCACTCTTATAGATTTAAAATAATGGGATTTACCAATGAAATTCTAATCATCCAATTTATCACATGTTAGACATTCCAAAGCAAGGAACAGAACAGCTTGGGGCGTGTCTTTTAAACCTTTTATGCAATGTTGTGTTGTATCTGTGAAAACATACCTGCCAAATTTGCATTTGTTTCTTCTGATTTTCGGTGACATGGATGGTGAAATCTGGTTGTGGATATAAAATGTGATTTTTTCCTTTTTGAAGTGTCTTGCACCTTCTAGTTTACAAGTTTTTTTTTATAGCTTTCTATTGATAATGTGTTAAGAGTTTAGGTGCTTAATTGGTTGTTAACAATGAAAAGTACATTTGATAAATGCTTATAAAATGAATGTATCTAGTTAATATCATTGCACTGATACACAGAAACTCTTCTTAGCAGTAGAGTTACAGAAGTCCCGTGGTGAGGGCTTTCTCCGTATATGGGCCATTATTTGATGTAATGAAAAGAGAAAGTGTGCAACAGTGAGATTGTTAATTAATTTAGCCTAACAAGATGAAGATAAATGAAGCAAAGCACAGATTGAATGAAGCAAGAGGTCTTATTTACAATTTAATACATTTTTATATAATGCAGATTTCACTTGATAAAAAAAAAACCAAACAGAGCCCCACCCCAAAAATACCTGCTAACATAAAAGTACACTCCCTCCCACCACAGTTCAACACTAAAATCCACCTGACTTTACAGAAAACATGTACTGTGGCTTCATAGAGAAGACACTTTTATAATGTGTAAACAATGCTTTTTTACTGCTAAGAATCCTATACTAGTTAACCTTTAACTTTAGTATTTTATTATTCTTGCTATACAGTGGGGATGAACATAAGAATAATTATCTGGAAACCTTCGAGTTTTTTGTTCTCCAGGTTATACTGAGACCTCTTGCTTCAGTTATTTAATAATCATTTTATTTTAATCCTTTTTTTTAAGCAAAGGAAAGAAGCTCAAAAGTGAGAAAAGAAAAAAGAAAAAGAGCTGTGAGCCTTTTTACATGTGCTTGAATCTGTACCAATTGTGCAGAATTCTTAAATTAGCATTATTTTTAAAAGTCTCCCTTTCAGAGATTAATGAGCTTTATCCAGTATTTGACCTTTTATCATTCTTGCTTTCTGCTCAGAAGTACTTCCTTCCTTCCTACAGTAGCTAGAAAAGACTGTCTCTTATCTTATGTTACTGTAGGCAGTGGTAACAGGGCTCTCTACAAATGGTGTTATTATGGTCACTATGTTTTTATCTCAGGGGTCACGAACAAATCCATGCAACTGCTTCTAAGGATTTCAATAAATAGGACTTTTTATCCAGACAATCGCCTTTTATGTTACTTTTAAACAAAACTACTAGTCCATCAAGAGTTTCAAAAGAAAACAATTCTACAGAGTGCCGGTATGGCCGCACAGACCAATCATCATGGCACCCATTCTCCAGTCCTTTATTTTTCAAGTCCACAACAATAGGTTGTTGATTCAATGGACAAGACCAGAACAATTAAGTTCTCTGTTTAGCAGCAGTGCAGCATTTTAATGCCCTTCTCTAATAATGGTCTCATTATTGTTATTCTAAGACTGGGCCTCAGGAGGAGGAATATTTGCTGGAGGTACGTCATTATTTTGCAAATTTCGATTAGCTCATCATGTTGTCTGTAGTGTGAAAATCGTAGCTAATTAGGGCAGCCAGTTAGACTACCAGCTTTTGAGCTTATGAGTTAAAAGGTAGCATACTTGATAGGCCAGTGATGTGAAAAAGGTGGTAAAAAGGAGGATTAGAGCAGTTGCCTTAGTAACTCCAACTTCCATCTGTGAGGGAACAATGGACTTGTGTTTCTCCCCCACCTTGGTGTAAAAATTGGTTTTGTTTTGAAAGGACAGGGTTCTTTTTATGACAATCTGGAATTCAGCCCAACTGAGTGTAGTTTTAGTTGTTAGGAGAGACCACTGGGGATAGGAAAGATGAAAGGTCATGGTGAGCTTCAAGGACATGAAAGGTTGTTGTCTCATGTAACAATGGTAGATTGTTTTTTTCTAATATTTCTAGCCAGCCCCTAAGTCAGGTGATGGAACAAATACCTACAGTTTAGTCAGGTGAAACAGGAGGGGGCAGGGCAAGGAAAGGAGAAAAATGGGGTAAGAGAGAGTTTGTACTTTGTTTTGAAAAAATAAAAGGGTAACTTCAATTTGCTTTTATTAAATAAAGTGGTATTTCTTTGTCACCATCTCTGAGATTCCAGTGTGCTTTGGATGGTTTGCCTCTGTGGGCCATCACATCTCTGGGAACCTCTCCAATGTGTTAGGAAATGTGATTTAAGCTTTCTTGCTGAATTCCCAGGAGGACCAGTGATGTGATACTTAACAATAAATTTAGTTGTTGTAGTTTTCTCACATTATTGGTGTTCTTAAAAGGTTTTCCTTCAAATGCACACTGAATAAAATGAATGATAAATATGAAAGAAATTTGTTTCACCACTCTACAGCGTTTTATCATAAATTCTACGACTTCCATCACAGAAAGTTTACAGGAAACTGTTTAGATGTTGCTGCAATAGCAACACAAATTTTTCTCTCTGTACATAAAAAAATGCTACCATTTTAAGAGCTATTGGGGTTTTGTATTACAGAGGAGGTGATAGGAAAGGATTGAATACAGTGTTATTTTGTAAAAATCCTCAAAACCCAATCACCCTCTTTGGGTTTGAAATACTTTTATTTCAGCAAAATGAGTGGCTTCTGTTTTCCTTCCATATCAGTATTAAAATATTTGGTTGTGGTTGTGGTTTTGTGTGTGTGTGTATGTGTGTGTGTGTGTGTGTTGAACCACAGAGAGTATAGGAACACTATCATTTTAAGCAAAAGGATCATCTTTTGATGATCAAAGGAACCTTCATATTTCTTGCTCTCCTATTGTCCCCAGACAACCCCTGTATAATTGAAACTGGACTTGGTCCAGGAGATTGGGGAGAATTTCAAATTTTTTTTTAATCCCAGGTCTTTGTGTTCTTACTTTTTCTAGCCAACTGTCTTTATTGCTATAGCCTTTCTTTTTGTCTTTTTTTTTTTTGAGAAGCTGTGTTCTTTTAATTTATTGTAGACTTGAAATAATAGTATCATGAAACTCTGGAATTTAAGGACTTTTGAGATTATCTAGTCCAACTCTTATATTTGAAAAATAAGAAGAGACCAGAAAGTTGAAATGACTTGCCCAAGATAACTCAACTAGTTAGCGGTAGACAAATAGATGCCATTTGCTATGGTATTTAAATATAAAACCTTGGGGTGCCTCTGTGGCTCACTCGGTTAAGCGTCTGCCTTCAGCTCAGGTCATGATCTCAGGGTCCTAGGATTGAGTCCCATATCAGGTTCCCTGCTCAGCGGGGAGTCTTCTTCTCCCTCTCCCTCTGCCCCCCGCCCTGCTGCTATGCTTCTCTCTCTTTCTTTCTCTCTCTGTCTCAAATAAATAAAATCTTTAAGTAAATAAATAAATATAAAAACTTGAAATCAAAGGAAGAATGAAGAAATGTTATAGGAACATGTCTTACTTGCTTACTGGTGATTTTAGTGGCTGTGGGGAGATGGAATAAATCTAACATTTGGTGGTGGTGGGGCTGGGATTCAGATCAGATTTTTATAACTATTAAAGGTTCATTTTAAACAAATGAAAAATTTTTTCCTGATGAAAAACTCCACACAAAACCACAGCATAACTGGGGAGAGATGTACTTAAGGTACTAGCATAGCATTCAGAATCTGCAGCATTTCTTGAGCGAGGCACCGTGTCAGACACTTTCATACACATTATTATAATTACTTAACTGTTCTGTTTTTTTTAGTTTATGCATCTGTAGAAAGGTACCTGATATTATCCAACTTTTTAAAATGTTATGAGACATAAGAATCCGTATATGATTGAAAAATGTAATATACGTTTAATAGAATATTATGTGTAAATTTGTGCTTTATCCAAACAGACACCCCAAGGCAAATATGAACCGTAATATTTAGATCAATATAAATGCTATAGTTTCTTTTTGGAATCATGTCGAATATATTTAGAAATTTTGGATTATATTTAAACATGGAGGAGAAAATAAAATAATCCATAATTTCACTTTATTATTTTGTAATAAAAAAATTTACTCTCCAGTAACATTTTGGTATATTTCATTTCAGTATTTTATCTATGTGTGTATGAGAAGAAAGAATATGTCTAGCTTGTTTACTCCTCTCTCTCCGGTGTCCAGAACAGTGCATGGCTCATAGTAGGTACTTGAAAAATAGTTGAGTAAATGAAAAAAAAATCAAAATTGGATCATACTATAGCTACATTTTTGTATTTAAAAAATCATTTTATTGTGTTTTTCCATGTTAGTAGTTTTTGAACACATGATTTTTAATTACCGTATTATATACCATCATATGGATTTACTGTAATTTGTTTTAGCATTAAAATATCAGTTTTAACTTTCACTATTATAATATCAAAGTTATAATATGAAACTTTCACCAGTATAAAGTGAGAGTATAATATAATATGAAATATAAATATGTAAATTAATTTATAAGGATATCTTCCATTTATTATTAAAGTGGTAAAATTTAAAAATTGGTGAAAAAAACTTTTATGATCATAGAATCACAGCAGATGTCATCACTCCTTCAAGTCTTTGCTTAGATGTCATCTCAATGAGGTCTGCCTTGACCACCCTATTTTAATTAATTTAATTAATTTTTAATTGAAGTATGGTTGACATCTAATAGAATATTATTTTCAGGTGTGCAACATAGTGATTTGACCATTATATACATTATGAAATGCTTACCCCCAGTAAGTGTAGTTACCATCTGTCACTATACAAAGTTATTATAATATTATTGAGTATATTCTGTAGGCTATATTTTTCATCCCTGGGACTTATTTATTTTATAACTGGAAGTTATAATTCCCTTTACCTATTTCACCCATCTCCCCCACCAACCTCCCGTCTGGCAACCACTAATTTGTTCTCTATATTTTTGAGTCCATTTCTCTTTTGTTGTTGTTATTGTGTTTGTTTGTATATTTGTTCATTTGTTTTGTTTTTTAGATTCCACATATAAGTGAAATCGTATGGTATTTGTCTCTGACTTATTTCACTTACCATGATACCTTCTGATTCATCCATGTTGTTGAGAATGGCAAGACTTCATTCTTTATAATGACTGAGTAATATCCCATTGTATTTATATACCATATCTATATTCATTTATGGATGGACACTTGTATTGCTTCCAAATCTTGGCTATTGTAAATAATGCTGCAGTAAATATAGGGGTGCATATATCTTTTTGAATTAGTGTTTTTGTTTTCTTTGAGTAAATACCCCGAAGATTGACCACTCTATTTTAAAATTGCAACCCTCCAGGGGTGCCTTGGGTGGCTCAGTCAGTTAAGTATCCAACTCTTGATTTTGGCTCAAGTCATGATGTCAGGGTTGTGAGATCAAGCCCTGCATTTGGCTCCATGCTAGACATGGAGCCTGCTTAAGATTCTCTCTCCTCCCTCTGTCCCTCCACCCCCCACAAAAATTGCAACCCTCCAAATATTCCTGATCTCCCTAATGCCGTTCTATTGTTTCCATAGCCTTAATAAACTTTTAACATAATTTGTATATCTATTAAATATATTGGCCATCTTTCTCTTATATTTCCTGGAATATAAGCTCTACATAGCAGATAATTTTTTATTGTTTTCATCACTCATATTCCCCAGTGTCTTGAACATTGCCTAGAACTTAATAGGTACTCAACAATATTTGTTGAATGCATTATTAAAGCTTAAAAAGATGGAAGTGTCTATTTTTTAAGTCAAGAATCAATCCTTTTTTTCTTCACATAGGTAACTTTCATCAACCAATTTGCATACCTGCTAAGGACTTCTGTCTTCTGAATGTTAATATGTACATATTATCCGGCTAAATTAAATCATAGCACTTGACTGAATCTTAGACTATGTTGGATTGGGTCTAAATGTCTTGCAACAAATGCTCCAAGCTTTCACTGTGCAAAGTCACACTGAACTCTAGCTTTAGGGAGAAGGTGCTGGATAAGAAATGTCATGAGTGTCCATCCAAATGAACCCTTTCCTCATCTAAACATCCTTCTGGTAAGACTCTTATGGTTTGTGTCTGACCTGGGCAAACTCAGGTTAACCTGATTATTTACTTATATTTTGGGATGATTTTACCTTATCTGCCCTAACTGATATTGGTCCTATTCCTGAAATTTTCTTAGGAAAGATATTTTACAAGCTCCTGTTTATTTCTTTCAATGAATATGGTTTATACTTAAAAAAATAATATGAAACAAAACAATTATCACTTTCTATTTTTTTGGGTAGTTTTTGGGTAGGTGTTAATTATAACCTTTAAAAAATAGCAATTTACATAACTGTAATAAACCCTTACATTTATAAGGCATTTATAGTTTCAAAGCTTTTTAATAAATATGATTTTGTTTAATTATCAGAATAATCCTAGACACACAGCGCATGGTTTATTGTACCTTTTGAGGTACTGAGGCACAAAACTGTTAGGAGACCTAATCTACATCACAAATCTAGGAAGTTATAGAGGCCATGAGAAATCCAAGTCTTCAGCGTTCTATTAGTCCAGTATTGTTTTTCTTTTACTTACTTAAACCTTCTCTCCACATTAAATAATCATTGTTCTGTTGACCTTTCTTGATAGGTTCCATGAAAATATAAGCAAATGATTAGAATTAAAATTTTTTTCACTTTATTTTACTTAGGGTACTATTCTAGTTCTCAAGGACTTTTTAGCTTTCCCTGGTTCTATTTTCATAGTCAGTATCTTTAATTTTTTTTTTTTTTTTGAGCATAGTTGACACACAATGTGTCATTAGTTTCAGGTATTCAACATAGTGACTCAACAGCTCTGTACATTATCCTATGCTCCACACAAATGTAGCTACCATCTGTCACCATACAGTGCTA